TAGGGCTTTAAATTATAAAACTGAAGGCAGTTCGGTTTTATCACAGAGAAATACAGTTCAGAATTAGAAATCGGATGCTCTGTGGTTGTCAAACAGTATTGGAACATACACTGAACAAAATTATAAATGCAACAAACGGGTATACTTGTATTTGTGTGCACTCACAATATCAACAGAACGTTGTGCTTATATAAAATAAAGAAAACGTCTCTAGGTTACGTATGTAACCATGGTTCCCCGAGGGAATGAGACGCTGCGTCGAGTCGCTTTGGGAACGCCCTTGCGTGACCGCGTTCTGAAGCACGTGTCAAATCCGTCCAATGGAGCAGCGAGACGTCACGAGCAGGGTGACGTAAGCACCAGAAAGCATAAAGGCACATCCGGCCGGGCGCAAACCAGCTTCGATGAAGTAGCGCGGATGTGCCTTTATGCTTTCTGGTGCTTACGTCACCCTGCTCGTGACGTCTCGCTGCTCCATTGGACGGATTTGACACGTGCTTCAGAACGCGGTCACGCAAGGGCGTTCCCAAAGCGACTCGACGCAGCTCGAGTTTCTGAAGGGGAACAAACATGATGCGCTTTCTGCCGTCTCATCTTGAACAGGAGAGCTTCACAAAAATTAATCGAAACTCAGCGAATACATGCCTCACAGACATGATAAATAAATCTATAGAAAGCTTTAAATGACCACTTAACGAAATAAAACAAATCGAAAACAAAAACTCTTTCATTATAATCATAATCCGTAAAGATGAACTTCTCTCTAAAGGCGCGTCTAATCAAGAGATGGCGAGTCAGGATCGTCATCTCTTAGCGACACGGACTCAGAAAACATTAGTTTATTAATAAATAATTAAAATACCTCCTTACTATTTCCCCCTGACACATTCATGGTAATTACTTTTGCTGGGGCTTTGCGGCAAGCTTTAGCCTATTGCGTGCATTTGAACGCAGAACGGCATGCATGCTCCTGCTGCTGCTGCTGGCAGGACACTAAACAGGGGTGCGTTTCCCAAAAGCATCGTTAGCTAATTATGGTAGTTAGTTCCATTGAAATCTATTGGTAACGTCGGAACTTGCGACCATAGTTGCTTTGACAGCACGGTCTCGTGTTGTTTCCACCAGCACGGCAATTTTTTCATCACTAATTGATGGATGTCTAAAATATACAAATTAGGAGAAGCCTAAAATGGGCCCGAGGCCCGGCCCGCATCTGAACTATGACGTGAAAATTGGCCCAAAGCCCGGCCCGAGGGGCGTAAAAAGTCGGGCTGAAATTCAGAGCTCTAGTGTGCCAAATATGTGATTTGAAATTTGAGTTCTGTAAGTACGCCTATAGTAAAAAAAACTAAAGTAAAAAAAAAAGTTTTTTTAGACAGCCCGTGTAAAAAAAAAAGCTGCTTTTATCCGCAATGTTAATCAGTAATTTTACACATGATAAAAACGTGCACTTAATTTGCTTGGAAAATACTTGTGAATACGGCAGTCATAAAAAACGTACAGTAGCCCAGCCTAATAATAATTTGTCTATATTAAAAGTATTGCTCTTAACAGACCTGTGTGTTTTGTATCACTAGTGCAGTGTCCGTTCTCGAAGCATATAAGCCCTGCCCGCGTGAGGCGCGCCGCTTCCGGCTCGCACTGTTCTGTAGTTTGTTAAAAGTTTATTAATTCTGAATGTGTCGCGTGTCCATATTGCACCAAAATGCGACACTGCACTCCCTTGGGTCCGCAGCAACACACCCGGCACTCGTGAAGTCGACTGGATGAACGGTTCTTGACATAATAAAAATGCAAACAGATAGACAGACACACAGAGATTCCTGATTTTATTAGAGATGTTCAGCCCTCTCCCTCCGAATTCAACATATTCTGTGTTGATTACTACCGAAGCTTCGAAGCTCAAAAAATGGTATTCGGACCAGCCCTAATAAGTAGTGCCTCTGATTTAAACCTGGGAAGTTTGATTCATTTCTGTGAATCAGTTCAAACCAGGGCCGGTTCCAGGCATGGGCAGGGGTGGGCTGAGCCCACCCAAATGACTGTCTTGCCCCCCCAATCAGTGGGTGGGCAAGACAGTCATTTAGATAAAGTCATTTATCAATTAGATAAAGATTATGTAAATTTTTTGTGCATAGATTAAAACTAATCTGAAGCAGACTGTATTTTGAGAAGTTTAAACTATAGCTTGAGACTGCCCAAACAATCATAAAATAACTTCAGAAAATTGCAGCATTTCTCTTTTATTAGCTGAATGCAAGGCGTGCTGAATTCACACGGAGGCTTCAGTCTGCTGCAGAAAAGCAGAGGCTGACAACGAGCGAAAACGGGCAGAAATATTTGCGCGCTATCATGGGGAGTTTGCGAGTTACAAGTAGTTTAATACACAAATATGTATCATAGCCTACCACTGAAATTACCTGAGCAGTTTTAATGTTCTAAAAGAAAAGAAAAGAAACATCATTCAATAACGTGCGTTCATTGCATGGACGGGGCACGAGCATAATATAAGCGTCTAAAATGCATGTAGGCTATACAGGGGTGCGTTTCCCAAAAGTATCGTTAGACAACTATGATCGCAAGCTCCATCGTTACCAACATAGTTCAACGATTCGGTTTCCAGAAACCATAGTTCAAACAAACATTCGCAAACAGCGCCGCAAACTTACGTGGTTGGAACTACAGCTCTCGACCTGTGGTTAGAAGCATAGTTTCTTGTTAACTAGGGATATGGGCTTAAATAAATATGCTATTGGGCACAATAAGTAAGCTAACATGCAGTGCAATCTATATATTCCATTCTATCTAAATATAAATGCATTTTAATCTATGTATGTTAGCGCGTCCTCTAAAAGCGCCGTTTTTGAAGTGTTCGCATGTGCACAGATACCTAAGAAATCCCCGGAGTATGACGTAAGAGGAAACCCGGGATGAATCAAACATCAAATAAAGCAAAATGACAGGGAACAAAAAATAGTAAATTAGTCATCAGGTGCCATGTTCAATACAGCAGCATCTTAGAGATGTCTAATCAATTAAATAGCAGAAGTTATTCCTCCACCACATGCGTGTGACGTCATTAACAATGGCCCTATGTTGCTGAACTAACGTTGTTCAAACGACGGAGATGCGACCGTGTTCGGGAAACAGTCGTAACTAGCTAGTTCGTTTCAACAACAATGCATCGTACTATGGTGGTTAATCAGCGAGTTACGTCATTGTACAGGAAACGCACCGCAGTTCAGTTGAAAGCTTTCCCCTTTCGACTTGCTGTTAATGTTGAATGTAAGAATTACTTACTATAGCAACAGTCGGCTCGACTGTATTATCAAGTATTCGCCTTTTTTTTTTCTTTTGTCAAATTCCGTCGTTTTGAATTGAAAGTTGGGCTGTCATTTACGTGATTCATGTAATTCATAATTATTGTGACAACAACAGCATTTTCTGTCTTGCGTTTTCAACATATTAGGAATAGGCTACAACTAAAATTGAATGGGTGCATATTTTAAAATGAAAATATTTGCAGTTCAGATTGATTACTTTACAAAAAATCTTATTATTTATTTAGTTCCTTTACCATTACCATAGTGGTCTGGTCTTAATATTTTCCTCAAAACAATAGTCCCCCTAATGTTCTAGATATGATTATGGCCTTGTTTGGTATAAATAAAAAGGTTAGTTGAAAAAAATCAACAGTGTAGAAACAATGATACAGAGAAAGAGAACAAAGAGGTGTTTTTTATTATTATTATTCAATAAAGAAAAAAAAGTTGATTTTGTTATGAAAGTGCATGATATTCTAGGCTGCCCATGAAAGCTTTTTTTCCAGTGTACATATAACAGCCTATAATTGATATAGTTAATATAGCAATATCAACAGTATAAATATCTAGACTTTTTCCACTTGCAATATAACCCCCCCTCCCCTCCCCTCCCCGCAACAGAAAAAATGCCCACCCACATATCTGCCAGCCCACCCTTCTATAGCTGTCAAGAACCGGCCCTGGTTCAAACTGTTTTTCACTGATTCACTGTTTTGTTTTTTTTACATATTAAAAGGTAAAAATATATGCATAACTATTGTTGTCTACTATTAGGTATTATTATATTCATGCACCTAAAAAAAATTATTCATATAACATTATTTAATAAAAAAAATATCAGTTCAGTTAGCCTCCCCGTTGAAGAGGATTTTCTTTTTCCCAAAAATGCTAGTTAATGTTATCACATTAGACTAAAATTTACTGACTTTGCTAACTCAGTTTAACAACTTCCCTAAAATTTGTAATTTATCTTTTGTTTTTTGTTTGTTTGTTTTTTCCCCACCTTCCTGGTCAAAAATGACAGACCTACAAAAAAATATAAATTATAAATTTTTTGTTATGCCAAATTATTACCAAATATTGGATTCAATATTTTTATCAACTTGTATTCTTTCAGTTAGCACAGGTTTTGTATTTCTTTTTGGAGCTGACTGAGCAATGCTACTATCAATGTTAAAAAGGTCGGCCATTTTTGACCAGGAACACCAAATTAGGTAAAGGATTTTTAATCACAGCAGAAAAGCTAGACAAAAACATGTCCTTTTGAATCTATTTGGCATATATGGCTGATTTATTGAAATGATGGTCCTGATTGCAAAGCCAAAAAAAATAATAATTTCATTTCAGAGCATATACATAATTATTGAGATATATTGCATACTATGAAAGGGATCAAAAATATCAATATTCTTTTAGTTCTATCCCTCAGCCATAGTCGGATAAATGTCATTACCAAAAAATAAAAAATAAGGTGAAATTAGTTCTGAGAGGAGCTTGTGCATAATTTGTTTCCAGAAACCAATTGCTTTGATATTTTAAGCGTGTCCAAATGCATTAATGCTCTATGACGCCCTACAAAAGCAGAGATGGTCTCGTTTTAATAAGAACCCAAGCATTCAGAAAATAAAAATGAGCTGCTTAGCACAGCTCCACAAGCATCTATCTGCCACTTCTTACCTCTGCAGATGGGAATAGGAAAATCCCACACCGCTATATTAGACGTGCTGGTGACACAGGTCAGCTGTGCGTGGCCATCCAGGGTATATCCAGCCACACAGTGGTACCGGATTCTGTCTCCCACATTGAAGCCTGTTCCATTCAGGATTCCTTTGGCAGGAACTCCTGGATTCCCACAAGAACTGCTTTGTAGTTCTGAAGAGAGACAAAGTGAAGATGCCAAAATCAGACATAGTAAAGGGCAATTTTATTCTTAACGCATTGCTGATTTCTGCTGGTTATAACCGGCCAATTAGAGAGTTGCAAAGCCTGTATTCATCAAAAAATAATGAAAGCAATGAATAAAAAATGAATTTGTACAAGAAACAAAAAGGCCACATCCTACTGCAATAAAAAAGATACTTATCTATAAAAAAAAAGAAGAAGAAGAAGAAGAAGTTGTGTCATGAATGCAGTCGACAGTCCTTATTTATTTCTCAGGCATCTGGCATTGGATTAATATTCCTGCTTTGACACATTTCTAATCCTTAGAGACACATGTCTGGATATGATATGTTAAGCTCGCTTATCTTTGATTTAAACCAGCACATATCCGCTCTGAGCACCTGCCACCATCATGAAATTCCATTCAATTCTCAGGCGACTTCAGACGGACTGCGCTGCCCATTTCAGACAGAAATTTGTGACAATCAGCTGATCAAAATTAATCAGTTATGATTATCATGAAGTAGTCACTCTAAATACTGCCTGGCACAACAGTATATGCTGTATTCTGAAGTGAATAATTCAAAGAACGCAAAATTAAGTTTTTATTTATTTATTTGCAGTTTATTTAGTAGAATAGAATAGAATATATACTGCATGCTATGTAAAGTATTCTGCATACTAAAATATACAACAGTATGTGAAAATGATTGTAGCTGCATTTTTTTTTATTCTGTAAAACAGTAATATTATGAGAAATTAAATTTAAACCAATAGGTTTCTATTTAAATTTATTTAAAAATATATTTATTTCTGTGATGCAAAGCTGAATTTTCAGCATAATTTCTCCAGTCTTCAGTGTCACAAATCCTTCAGAAATCATTCTAATATGCTGATTTTCTGCTCAGTAAACATGTTGAAAACAGTTGTGCTGCTTCATATTTCTGTGGAAAGTATGTTAGTTTTTTTCAGGATTTTATTTTGCAGTATAGAAAGTTCAAAAGAACAGCATTTATTTGAAATAGAAATCTTTTGTAGCATTATAAATGTCATCACTGTCGCTTTTGATCAATTTAATGTGTCCTTGCTGAATAAAATTATTAACAGAATTATTATTATTAACAGAATATAACAGTAGCACAAAGCATACTGTCACGAATCCGGTCCATGAACTTCCGTCTGCTAGCCATCAGAGGTCACCCTTTCCATTTTCATTGACTCTCGCACTACACACTGTTGCATATCATCCCGGACTACATATCCCATCATGCATGTTATTGGATTACCCCTCATATCAAGCCCTCTGGATATTGTTAGCCGCTCATCGACCATGCCCGTTTTGGATTACTCTTCTGTCTTGCCCTCAATATACCCGTTTGCCATTGTCTGACCGATGCTTGTTTTATGACCACGTCTCTGTCTCCTATTAAAGCTTTGCAGATGGATCCGCAAGTCTCTCGTCTCGTCGGCTCCGTAACACATACATCAGTACAGAGCAGACTGTATTTGTCATTTTTTGTGCTACAATCACTGATACATCCACACAAACGCCTTACAAAAAAAACATTCTGACATGACATGAACCCTAACTTGCTGTATTATGATTTCTGTCACAGTTTGGTGACAGAAACACTGCATTTTAGGAAATGGCACCATAAATCGAAGAATTTAGCATGTCATCTAGAGTGAAAATGCAAATAAATACATCTGCACAGCATGTGAAGAACACAAAGAATGTCTTTTAAAGGTCCTTATAGTTCTACATTAGAAAGTATAATGCACTTTAATGCATTTCACTAATGTGCTTCTGCAATAGAATTATACAAGTATAAAAAGTGACCCTCTAAAACCAGCAGACGTGCAAAATTACAACTTGAGCAGATGATTTATAGACGGCGTTTAGCAGCTAGAATGATATGGCAGTGCATTTGCTCCCTGGTACACAGTCAGTGAACCATTAATCTCATCTCAATTTGTGCTTTTAAGTCTTAGACTTAAAGCGTCTTAAACCCCTGTCACTTCACACCAACGAGACCATTATCTCCATGTCACTCAATGAGACAGAAACTACTTTTCTTAATCTACCTTTAACAACAAAGCATGCACTTTAGCACCAATGCTTTGCGCAAACCCGTTTCCCATTCGGTTTGCGATCGGGAGCTCCGTTGCTTAAACGAAAGCAGCTGAAGTTGATCAAATGCCGCTCGCGACTATCATCGCTCACTCTCGATGTTTTCATGTGTGACTCTGCATAGGAACACAGCACATCTGTCAGATCATCTCTGCTCGCATATATTCCCACTGAGCTTTACGCTCGTGATCTGGGGTAATGGAGGCATTTCCTGTTCATTACGACAGGTTGGACTCTATGGCAGTCAAATAAATGGCCCGGAGTGGAAATGAATCAGTTCAGAAAGTGTGTTGGAAGTATTACCTTTGAGAGATGATTATTTATTTTTCTTCCCCTGTTCCAAAGAAGCAATTACAAACATGGTCCCTCAGCAGGGTGAAAAAAACTCAAATACAAACAAAGACATGAGGCGTCCGTTTGATTGTGCTACAGGGTCTCTGACTGATGGGCAGGACACTAGTGGAGTGCGACATTTGGAGTTGGAAATTACTTTTAGAAAGAGGCCATTCCATGTAATTGCTACTCAGGAGTGGTGATTTGTGGAAATACAAAGCCTATTGATGTGAAATACAGCAGCAGTTCTGAACTGGTTTTGTTTTACGAGGTAGATTTTACTCTGGACACCAAATGGAGACTCGGCACTAGTTTTTTGTTGTGCAAATTTAAACTATCCACCTATCCATCTATCCATCCATCTGTCCATCTATCCATCTGTCCATCTATCCATCTATCCATCTATCCGTCTATCCATCCATCTGTCCATCTATCCATCTATCCATCTATCCGTCTATCCATCTATCCGTCTATCCATCTATCCGTCCATCCGTCTATCCATCTATCCATCTATCCGTCTATCCATCCATCAGTCTATCCGTCTATCCGTCTATCCATCCATCAGTCTATCCGTCTATTCATTCATTCATTCATTCATCCATCCATCCATCCATCCATCCATCCATCCATCCATCCATCCATCCGTCCATCTATCCATCTATCCGTCTATCCATCTATCCATCTATCCGTCTATCCATCCATCAGTCTATCCGTCTATTCATTCATTCATTCATTCATTCATTCATTCATTCATCCATCCATCCATCCATCCATCCCTAAACTGCATAGGCCCAACAATACACTGCTCACTCCAACCATCCATCAATCTATCAGTCTATCACCCATCCATCCATCCGTCATGAACAGCACAGGCCCAACACTATTCTGCTCTATCCATCCATCAGTCATCTATCCGTCTCTCACCCATCCATCCACAAATCATTCATCCATTCATCAATAAATCTATCAACCAATCTATCATTCATCCATCAAAAATTGCATAGACCCAACAATATACT